TTCGCGTATTGAAACTGAAGAATTTGTCTTTCGCGTATTAAAACTGAAGAACTTGTCTTTAAAAATTAATTTCTCAAGAACATGAATCTAGGTCCATTTATAAATAAGTTCTTCAATTATATTCGTTGCGATACCTAATTTTTACGATTACTCAAATGTCTTCTATTTTTATTTATTCATCCAAAAAAAAAAAAAAGAAAAAAACAAAGACTCGCGCGTTACAAGAGAAATGTGCGTATACGTGCATTATGAGCCTCCTAATACACATAAAGTTTACTATAATACGGCATCGCCGTAAGAGCATTAAAAATAGATATGTATCTGACAATCCCATTTAAACCGCATGCGATATTATGTATTATTACAAACTTATGCACGCACTCACAAACGCACAAATAAATACACACGCGCATATTTCAATATTTATAAATTAGGATGATCAAGCGTTATTCGGTGGTTCTGCAAAATGGGAGGACAAGATAATTTTTAGTAGGATCGATCGAAATTTAAATCTAAGTTGGCATTGAGAGATTTGTAGCAAGAATGGGGGATAAGTCTTTTAAAAAACCGTATATTTCAAATAAAATTTACAAATAGTAGATACGATAAATTTAGTTTTCCAGATGCCGTTTGAAATGTCATGAAATTAAACGTAGTTGTATTGGCATATATAATTACAAATAAAGTCGGGATTATTGATTTTGAAGTAGAACAAAATCGAAGTCTTAATTACGTGAAATTATACCGGTTTTAACAAATTCACTGCCACATTTAGTCTTGGTCGATTTAATATTAGTATATTTTGAATTATTAGCGCATCAATACTTGTAATTCTCGCCGACATTTGAGTATTAGCGCATATTTGAATATATCAATGAAAATATCAATTCTTATTTTTTTTCAACATTTAGCGTTGGCGATATTGGATACATGGATTCCATGTTTCATAAAATTATCGATAAATTATTACCTTTAATTAATATTGTTGGAAATTAATGAAAAAAATATCTTTTTTACATCTTTATAATAACATTACGAAAATCGATGTCGACCGAATCATAGATAAAATGTATTTTCCCTTATACTCTTCAGAACCACCAGAATAATGATATTGGTTATTCTTGTTTCAAATAATAAACACCAATGTTTGTACATGTATATAGACATGTATACAGATTGCTATAGATTTTGGATCAACGACATTTTCATCTTTAAAAAAAATATTATTTCGATTAAACAAATTTTTATAGACTACGAAATGAACATTGGCTTCTTTTAATGCACTTTTTTCGTTTATAAAATAGTTTTATTTCATTAAAAAACGAGTTAAAATGACTATTATATTTAATACTTTATTATATTTGCAATCTTATGTTTTTAAAACAAAGTCACTCTAATTCGAGATTTTTGCTATTTAATATATATATATACATATAGAGAACCAGTAAATTTTTTTGCACCAATGTAATAATCATTCCGTATTGAAACATGAATTCTGAAGAGTTTTTCAAATAAACGTAGTTTTACAGTTGTTTATCAACATATCAATAAAAGAAAATGCAGTTTGTTAAGGATATCTTATTGTAGATGTACGTATGTTGTGTGTGTGCGTGCGTGCATGTGTGTGTGCGTGTGTGAGTTCGTCGCAATAAAACGGTATAAGCGCGCCGCATACACGATACATATAGTGTTGTGTGTAAAGCGGTTTTATAATAATATAATTGAGAATGGCAGAAACTGACCAATTTTAAAATATAAAACTATTAAGCTATCATATTGTACTATACATGTATTGCAAAACAAACTACATATGTGTATAGACCAAGCATTTTTGCGTACTAAATTTTTGTTGTAGCGGCACAGTGATGGTCTACGTTTAAGAGAGAAGGACAATTAATTTCTCTTAGTGTCTTCCCCTCGATATTATAATGATAATTTTTTGCTATAAGACATTGAAAAAATGCTTAGAGGAATCAATTGTTTTTCTCTCAATTTTAAACTATTAACTTTTGGCATCAATTTGTGAGGGAATTGCTTGATTATACGTGTATATATATATATATATATATATATATATATATGCGTGCGTGCGTGCGCGCGTGTGTGTGCGCGCGCGCATGGTGTGTGTGTGTGCGTAACTTGAAATGGAGCTCTCAATGAGCATTCGTGATAACGATCGTATCAATAACATGGTATCGAAATTCATATCTCTCGTCTTAGCAGAATTGCGATCTCGTCCGCTATTAAATATCGTGAAAGTACTCCTAAAGGGCTTGAAATTAATATTTAATATTTAATCGATAGAGTCGAGAGTGTGTTGAAATGGATGGAGTTAAATTATACAGCCGAAACTATCAATGCGCACAGTTGATTCGTAGTTGATTTCCTAGTTATTTTTCTTAAAAGTATGTCTGTCTCTCTTATTTAGAGACTCGTTGCAAGAATATTATTTGCAAAAAATGCGATGTATATATAATTTGTTATTTGCGATTTTTGAGTT